GTCCACCGTCCACATTCTAGTAGTAGTACGTCATTTAGCCTAAGATAAACTCTAGACACAACATCCGTTGTATTACCGTGACTTCCACAAGTGTCCTCATCAGGCAACTTGCATTCAGGGGTATCCATAACGTATGGATTCTTGCACAGAAACAAGAAACTGGGAAATTTCTTCTTTGGAGTCAGTGCAAAAATTTTAACATGTTTCATACAATCTGTAATTTACAATATCTGATTCTATATTCTTTCGAGAAAAAAACGGCGTTTATTTCGTTCGTTTATCACAGAAATTGCAGAAATAGGAGCAAATTTAGTAAGTCACTACAGTTTTTACGGATTTCTAATCGCGGGTATTTAAATATATTCCGTACGGCTGCCTTTACCGGAATTTAAATGCCCGTAGGATAAGCGTTAAGGTTTTCCGTCATTTAGGGTTGAATTTCAATGATCCAAAGTCAATAATTTCAGTGTGAAATTTCCTCCGTTTTTGTCTGGTAAACCAAAATGACACTTGAAATGGAGGTTTCACTGTACACAATTGTTAACAGATAAAGTGACAGTTTGTTTTACATATTGAACCAAGAAAATCACACAATCAAATGCAGAAAGAAGAACTTAACTGCAGCCTTAATTACCTGGCTATGTCCATAGCATGGTAAATGATATCTGACTGATCAATGGCTATTACTTTCTGAGCACCGGCTGAAGCTGCAAACATTGACAGAATTCCGGTCCCACAGCCTAGATCCAAAACTGTTTTGTCCTTCCAGAGTGCAGTGTTGTGAAGAAGGGCATCTCTATAGCTTGATGTTCGAACATGGTCCTAACAACAAACATGGAGTGTTCACATTTTTATATCTTTTGTTCATTCATTTAATGGGAACTGATGTTTAAAGGGTATCATTATTCAGAAGATGGTGATTTTATGAAAGAGTTTAATTTAAATAATGGAATTTGATTCACCCAGCACACAAATTGGCAAACCTGACTATGTTACAGTAGCTGGTTTCAAACTTACAGACAACATCTCATGATGAATGCCAAAGTGAGAGTATGTGTTAAAGTATCCCTCATCACATTCCATCTTAATGGCCTTGATACAGTGAGCAGGTGAAGCTGAGTCTGCCTCATTTCTTCCATCTGCCACTAGTTCTTGAGTTATATGGCGCATTTTTTCTACGTTTTCCGTCATTGTTTTCAATTCAGAATCCTTCTCCCTTATCTGAAACATTTATAAGCAAATGGGGATATGAAAGGGCCGGGATGGCTCAGTTGGTTTCGTGACTAGGGAATGGGCTGGATGGTTGAGGAATTGGGGTTCAATTCTTGGCAGTGGCAAGAATTATATATTATATTATACTGTAATATAAGGTCATCTTAGGCCGCGCCATAGCTCAAGCGGTTAGTTGCTGGCTTCCCACTGTGGCGGCCTGAATTCAAACCCGGGTCTGGTCAAGTGGGATTTGTGGTGGGGTAGGTTTTCTCCGAGTACTTTGGCTTCCCCTGCCAATCTTCATTCCACCAAATTCTCCATCATCATAAACACCCGAGGCAGGTACAATAGGCCAATCAGTGGCTGCTGTGCCGAGTGGACCCAACTGGACTCCACCCCCCACTATGTGAAAGGTCATCTTACTATACAACTAAAACCATTATACCAGGTCTAAATATCCCAAAAGCTGGGCACCTACATTTTTTTATGAGGCTACTTAAAGTTTTCTTTCTATTACTACCAGCACATGACCCATCAATGATGACAGGCAAAATCATTTCTTTCTTTCCTTCCTTCCTTTATCACCCTTCCTGCTCTCCATCAAACTGTTTCTCATCCCTTTTACTTGTCCATCCTGTTATAATTCCTCTTCCCACAGCCTAGCAATGGTGCACTGGGTTTTCCCCACACGTGCTAGAAACTAGCTGCTTTGTTAATTCTAATATTTAAATTGTCATCTCATTAAAAAAATAAGCGAATTTCTCACCTGAGGTATTTTGTTTTATAGCCTACTTCCCTTATTTTCAAAAAATAAAAGCTGGCTTATGCAATCACCTTGCTTTTGAATGCCTGAACCGATCTTTATGAAACTTAGTATGTATATCATAGTATCTGAGCCCCTCAATGACATACTTCATAAATCCCTCCCATCAGTCCACTTGTCTGTATGTGTATCCCTCCTTACTGTTGCTAGGCAATGGCTTGGTAAGCACGTTCCTGTGGCAACAAATACATGCAACAATAGAAAAATTGCTGGATGCATCATTTTCTATATGGTCTGTGTCATGTTAAAGAAGAGTCTGGTTATCCTATCGTTGCTAGGCAATGGCCCAGTAAATATATTCCTGCAGCTATGATGAATTGTTGGAGGCACTGTCTATGCAGTCCACGACATATAAAAGGAAAGTAGGTGATGAGCTCTTCCCTAACTTCTTGTTATTAGTTTCTGAAGGTAGCTCCTAGACTTATATGAAATTTGTGCAGGACTACATTGTACTACCAACAAAAGCAGAAATAATATTTGTTACTTGTAATGTTAGGTGTTGAATCATCCGTTGCAACTCTGCAAAATGCTGCTCTGACAGGGTAACAAGTCCATCCTCTGCAGTTACATTAAAATTAGTACTACTGGAAATTTCAGGAACTGTTACTGAAGAAGGCAATTCAATGTCCTCAAAATCTGTAAAGGGATTGCAGACACATAGTACAAAATTATTAATGAAGCCAGTGATTCTCGGTCCAGATCGAAGTATAGGCAACAGACAGTTATAGTACCAGTGAATAGTATTAAAATAGTGATTCTGAAGTGTGGTCACCATGGCCCCATGTGGTGACCTGTAATTTCATGTAAACCAACTATTTTTATGGTTAATAAGCAGGTTTTCTGTCTTTCCGGTCTTGAGACAAACCTTTTTCATTTTTTCTGTAGTCATTGACTATGCAGATGCTATAGGTCTGTCCTACATAGCTGCAATTCTTTATTTCAATTTCTTTTAAAAACAAGTACAACAAATTGAGGGACAAAAATACTCTTCAGTTACCCGTGGAAGAATGTCGACTGAAAGGGTTACTATTTAATGAGCCACTGTAAATTAAGGTAATATCATCATCACTGCACATTACTTTGAATTGTAAATTAATAAAAAATCTTATTTACATGTAAAAATTATGTTTTATGCTACATGGTTACAGTGTATGTTCTTAATTTTCACATGCAGCTACAGGAAATTTTTGCTTGACAACTGATTAACTAGAACATAAGTCAGTGTAATTTTGATACAGTATTCAATATCAGAAAAACTTTAATTCTGAGGAATATTATGCAACAGACAAATTCTTTGGTGTTACACTATTTTCTTTGAGCATCCATTGTTGACATTCTATAATTTTAAATTTGAAAACATCAGTCATGGATAATGTAAAAGTATCCCTGTAACAGGCCATGGAGGCCCATAGGGTTGTGAGATGCTAAGGTTCCCACATTTTCTAGACAATCAGGTCATAGATGACAGCAAGGATGTCAGCCCTACATGCCGGCCCCCCTTTACCCCAAAGAATATTCCTGGTACTCATTTCTGTTAGAGGCTGAGTCGACCCCAGGGCCACAGTGCGGCTGGAAGGATTAGGTAAATTGACCTCATCGGGATTTGATTCCGTGACCTTCCGCCTTGTAGCATAGTGCCTCAACCAACTATGCTACTGATAATGTCCAAAAAAAAAAACCCCTTAACAATGAGACTACAACACTGTCATAAAATTTTAGAACCACAGAACTGATTTTGTGTCCTCCATGCACAAACCTTTATGATGATGATATAGTAAAACCTGTCTTAAATGGAATCTCAAGGGCCCAGAAAAATTTTCTGCTGAAGCCAGGTTTCCATTTCCTCAAGGTATAATATAATAATTAATGCAAGGAGTTACTGTGCTCCCATGTATATACTGTCATGACTTTATGGCTCTGTGACTAATTATAACGGGTTATGGACTGGATAATTGGAATTACTGACAGCTTCTTTTACAATCTCTCTTCATCAAAATCGATTACAATAACACAATTAATTTTCGGCCGAACAGTCCTCTTCCTTGAAGAAAGCAGTCTTCTGGGATTTGGCACCGTGTATATGTGGTGTTTCTCACGGTGTTGTCGCTTGCAGATTTACTTATACTTTTTCTTCAACCCTGAAGATGGGGGCGATACGTTCCTCCGAAACGTCGGTTAACACCACATATACACGGTGCCAAATCCCAGAAGACTTTCTTCATAGTCACCGCCGTGAAAGCCTCAAATCTTACACAGTCCTCTTCCTTGATTGCCGAGGACTTGCTCCATTCTCATTCTATAAATGAATTGAGGCAGAGAGAGTCAGAGTTACTTTACAACTTGGCAGTTTACTGCAAATCAATTTGTCTTGACGATAAGGCCCTTGAGACTCACGACTAGTAATTTTATTTTCGAACAGAACACTTGGGGATATAGTCCTTGTGTAACATCCTCTCTGACGAGAGAATAGGTCTGTCATTTACAATTGCTGCTGGTCCTCACCACCTCCTCATTCTCAGGTCCAAGTCCTGCGGGATTCATGGCCACATTCTACTGTCTCAGATTTGAGATTCCTCCAACCTGGAGGGCCAGTCTCCATATCTATATCCCCCAGGAAAAGGGTGGCCTAGTTGTACCCCAGTACTGTGTACTATTTTCGTCGCCTCCTATGCCTCACAGTGCTACGGTGGAGGTATCTGACCCCACTTCCATACAGCAGGACTGACTTGATTCTGTTCTGTACCACTTATACATTCTCGATGTGGATCCACAGAAAACACATTCATGCCCAGCAATTGGTATATGCAAACTACACTGAAAACACCTCTTCCTCTGTTGTATTTACAGCACACTGCATAGCAAAAGGAAGTTATTCAATTGTTGCCTGCATATTTGTTGTTGTGGGGATGTGTTTAATGAGTCGTTGCCCAGCAACGGGTATACACATCACAATATGATACCCCAAAGTAAAGGATTCATATGGTTTGGGAACGAGAATGCCATAGTATTTTTCTTTTAAATTTCTGTTTGGCAAGCAAAATGTATTACCTATCAATTATAGTAAAATTATTTATTTATTCATTACTGAAATTAACACATCACTAATTTGGACTAATTGGGAATGAACCCTTGTCCAAATCAGCGAAAGTCCGAATCATAGAAATGTTATGTTCAATGAGGTTATACAATGGACTTCACGTGTCTTTTAGGAAATAAAACTTTATTTTGAAACTTAGACTGCATATCATAAAATAAATTTACTTGTCATAAAATGTAAAACTCTTTAAGTTTTTACATCAGTCTTGAAAACATTTTAGGTAGCCTATATACCTAGTATTATTGAGATTGTGTTTAAAAGATGAACTTATGTCGGTTTGTGTTCCTATTTTGTACTGTTCTTTTAATACATCTTGCCTCATTTCCAGCACCATTAGATAATATTTGTTGTATTGTGGGTTACAATCCACAAAATTGATGATGGAATTCAAGGTTTGTTTGACTTTTGAAAACCTGCAGATGTTTCTGCTTTTTACCATTTTCCTCATCCTCTTCATTTTGCTGTGCAATTTCTTCTTCATGATATTTTGGTATCCGAAGTCCTGCTCATCCATACTAAGCCAGTCATGAACATCACTTGGTCAGCTCCAAATGTTCCATGAAAATCTTCTTCTATGCCTTCAAGACCAAATTCCGGTTCTCCATTGCTAATGAGTTTGTTCCATGTGGTTTTGTTTTAATTTCACTCCAGCTGCTGGAAGTCGTAATGCAGAGGGGAGGGGGAACCACTTATGTGAATTATTGTGAATTCCAAATTAGCAAGGTTTCACTATACTTCCCAGTGTATAAAGACACTGCTGTGATTATTAGGGCAATTTCAAGGGGGGAAAAAAACAAGTTATTAAATACAGATTTTGTTCTTCTCTTAAACATATATATGAAGCCATTCTTCAACTTACCATACATTAGCCATGGATCATCAGATTTCACAGGTTTCAGGTACTCTTCATTTTCCCATATTGGTTCTATTGCACTCATCACTAGGGAGGCATCCGGATGATGTGTGCGAATGTAATTCACAAGTTTTATATAACCATAACAGTCCATATTAAAACTCTTTTTCAGCTTCACCAAATCAAAACTATGATCTACAGCACAATGAGATATAACTTCAGACATTGATCCATACACTTGAGGACAGAATAAACATTCTGGGTGTTCTGTTTCATCCTCTTTGACATCACATTCCTTCCAATCACAATCATCTTCAGAATCTGAGGAATCACTTCCGTAACACCTAACAGGAACACCTGAAGAAATATATTACATATCAGGTTAAACACTCTAGTATAGTTTGAGAGTACAGTTTACCAGGAAGGATATGAATTAATCGGACATGTCAGCTTCTAGTTTATGCTTATGAAAATTTATTGGCTTGAAAGAGGTACCATACACAAAAATAAATGCTTTGTTAAGTATTAGCAGGAGACTGTCCAGAAGCAAATGCAGAGGACAATAAGTATATGTGATGCCCTGTTACCTGAATGCAGGATAAAAAAATAATATAAAGGTATGTAACAAGTTCTTTAAAAATGTGTCAAAATTTAAATATTTGGAACAACTGCAATAAATCAGCATTACATTTATGGCAAATTATGAGCAGATTAAATTCTGTGGACACTTGTTACCATTCATTTCAGAATTGTCTGCATTCTATCTCACATCTACAAGTGTAAAGGTTAGAATTTATATTACTGTAATAAATTACAACATTACTTGTTCTTTTGTGGGAGCCGGGATAGCTTAGTTGGTATAGTGAAGGGCTATGGGCTGGATGGCTGGGGTTCGATTTCTGGCAGGACAAGATTCTTTTCTTCTCCATAATGTCCAGACCGGCTCTGAGGCCAAACCAGCCTCCTATCCAATGGTTTCTGGGGGCTCTTTCCTTGGGGGCAAAGCAGCTAGATCACCTCCATCCAGTGCTGAGGTCATCAGTGGTGGAGCTATACCTACATTTCTTCATGCCTTTACAGCATTGTGCATAATTAATTAAGCACAGAGACAACTTTAACGTTTTTTGCTGTGCTTTTGTATGCATGTGAAACTTCCTTTCACCATAAGCAAAGGACATATATTAATGGTAATATGTACAAAGGGCATGGGAGAAATTCTGGCTCTAAGAGGAAGTGCCAGGGATGTGAGTACAGTTAGATTTAGAGTTATTACATTGTAATAATATTACAATAATGATAAATTTCATAATTTGTACTCTTCATTATACATTGGGTTCATAAAATCAAGGTGGATGAGATGGGTAGCACATGAGAAATAGATAAAAAATTTTACTTAGAGAACATATATGAACGTGCAACATAGAAATGGTGTTTGCATCAAGGGTACCTGAGATTAAATTGTCACGTGGAAATGGTCCATGCTGTTTCTGGATACACAGCCAGATTTGCCATTTCATCACAATATTATATCCAAACAAAGCAAGTAAGTCAGGATATGAACTGTACATTTACAACTTAGGTGAAGCAACAAGAGCAACAGCTTGAAAACCAATCAGACAAAGGATGTATGGCTGAATTACAGTAAACTCTTGCTAATTTGGATTAACTTGTGGAGGGTCATCTGAATTGAGCAATAATCCAGATTAGTGAAGTGATAGTTAAAGTAATGTCTTTTTATTCCATTTCTCAATCCTTTAAATCCCATAAATATATCAAATATGTTAAGTTGTATCATACCTGTTGTGCTCAACACAGTGAATGCTATCATATCTACAAGCTTCTTACAAGAGTTACAGTATCTACAAGTTTTGAGTATCTGCAAACGGTCAATGGATAACTCTGCAAAACATTTCGGTTATCTTGCAGGGAACATGGCCTTTTGCAAGATTATGGGATATGACATGACACATTTTCTGAGGCAAGCAATCCAATTATACTGATTTATAAACAGTTACTTTTACGGAAGATGTATCTGAGTTATGGGATGGCACAAGCAGGGTAAGAGTGAAAATTTTATTAGACATTATAAAGAAACTTCCCTTCTCTATGCCTTTGCAGAAATCGACAAGATGTTAGAAAATTAACATGAGACTTTAAAATGGCTTTCACCAATTGCTGGAATTCTTAAAGCACTTGAAATCATCCAACACACTGGAAGAACAGGTAGAAGCAACTGTGAATATGGAGAAATTAAACAACAAAAACAACGAACACAAATGGCATTTTATACTATTCTTGAGGTTGTATACAGAAACTTAGGCACTAAACAATACTGTTTTTTCTTGATGGTTCCGGCTGGAGCTGGAAGAGAGTATTAATCATGTTGTGTCTACAGGTATTGCACCACCTGTGTTAGTAAGAGGCAGAACTGCTCATTCTGCATTCAAGACATCTCTGCTGTTGAATGCAAGTTTACACAACTTTTGGGACATCCCCAAAAGCATAAAGTGCATAAATAACAGTATATCAACCTTAAATTACATATGTAAAATAGCACCTGACTTTCTCATCCACAATCTATAAAGTGTATCTGCTTAATCTTCTGAATCTGAGCTCCCCCCCCCCACAAACAGAAGTATTAAACAAGTTGAGTGAGGAAACAATCAACGAAGTTACACTGGACTAGACATATTACATGGGAGGAATAAAGCAGCGAAACCTCTTCAGACATCACAAAATTGATAAATTGTTTTAAAAATGATACTTGCAGTAATAAATTACTACTGTTTCAAGTGGTCCACGTTAGGGCAAACTTATAAGCTGTAATATTAAGGTATATGCAGGTTAGAAACCTTTCCTTGCAGGCCTGTTGGTATGTAACTCAAACTGTAAAATGCAAAGTTGTCCCTGTGCTTAAGCAGTTAAGCACTATGCCATGAAGACATATTGGGAACTGGAGGCATAGCTCCACCTTTATTGACCTCCTCACTAGATGGAAGTGAGTAGTCAGCTTCAAGCCCCTGCCACTTTACTCCAGGTACCTGCCGGATAGGAGTTTGGGGAGCCCCAGAGTTGGCCTGGACCCTGTGGAGAAGAGTAAAATCTTGCACTACAGGGAATTGGACCTGGGCTGCTCAGCCCATCGCTATACCGACTCTAAATCAAACTGTGATGTTTTTAAATAGTGATTCGGACAAGTTTAAAAATACAGGTTAGATGTAATATCCCAAATTCGAAACCTGAAATTCAATGAAAAAATTAGCATATAAGCGTTTTGGTAATGACAGGCCGCGCCATAGCTCATGCGGTTAATCGCTGGTTTTCCACCGCGGTGGCCAAGTGGGATTTGTGGTGGACAAAGTGGCGCTGGGGTGGGTTTTCTCCGAGTACTTCGGCTTCCCCCTGCCAATCTTTATTCCACCAACTTCTCCATCATCATATTCACCCGGGACAGGTACAACAGGCCAATCAGTGGCCACTGAGTGGATCCAGCTGGACTCCACACCCCACTAAGCGAATAAAAAAAATTAAATGATTACAGCACTTAACTGTACACTAAATACAAATTGGGATATCCCAGATTCAGCTGTACATCATAAATTATATTTATTTGACGTATAACATACTTTCACGACCAGCCATCACACCTCACTTGAAACAAAACACGCCTCGAAAATACTTAATTGTGCAACACCTGTTATAACCAAAGTGTTAAAAGTAGTCATGGTAAAGTTGGTAGAAGTGGTGTGTAGAACGGTGTGAACCGTTAGAAGAGGTGTGAGATGACCGTGTAGCATGTGTGGCTGCTAATCGTAAGAAGTGTATTAAAGTGTATGGTCGAACAGGCTCAGCAGGGTGTTCCAAAGAAAGCCGCATGAATGTTGGACGCGATATTTTGAAAATTTTGAAAGTGTAGGGAACGTGTGTTGAATATCTGTTACTTACTGCAGACTCACGTTGTATAAGATAAATCGCCATGGCGGAATTCGTGGAGTATCGTGCAGAAGGAATGATTCCCGAGTTGGAACAGATGGGACAAATTGGTCTGTTCGAAAAGCATGAAATAAGGTACGAAGAAATGGCCATGTGCTGTCAGTATGTATGACATACAGGCGTTTTGACAGGTTAGAAGTTTCCTTGTTAGGTTAGGTTACTGCCTGCTAATTTAATTTTTTTACTCTGTCGTTATTTTATAGCATATATCAAATGTTCATATTAGACACCGAAATTGACCCTCATTTGCTACGTATATCGAGTGACACAAAGAGTTTTGAGGTACAATTAAAACAATTTTTATATTTACATTCTTTTTATTCTTTACGGGAATATTTTGGTTATAAATCTTTTTAAGATGCGAGTAGTTGTCTTGCTTTACAATTAAAATAAGACAAGATTGTCAGTCTGTGTTCTGGTTTTTAGATGCTTAATATAGATATACACAATATATTACTGTATAAAAAGAAAAGAAAAAGTAAAGCTATCCCCATACCAGGCTGTGAACACATAGGGTTGTGAGACGTTGGGTACCACCTTGTCTAGACAGTCGGCTCAAAAATGGCGGTGAGGTTGTCAGCTTTACTCCCCAGGAAAATTAGTTAATTAATTCCTGGTACTCATTTCTGTTAGAGGCTGGGTAAACTCCAGGGTCTAGTGCGGCTCTAAAGATTAGGTCACCTGAAAAAAATCCAATGACCACATCGGGACTTGAACTCGCGACCTTCCGGCTTGTAGCATAGCTCCTCAACCACTATGCTACCGCGTATACTAGTCTTTATTTCAATTTATTATGTAATTAATGTATGTTATACAAAACTCATTAATGACATTGTGTTTTAACTATTGAATTTTTAATTAATAGACTTGTATAAAACTGTACAAATTGTATAAGGTTTGCCATTACTTTTACTACTAAAATTAACTTATTTATTATATTGTATATGTTTATCAGTATTTTATTACAAATGTGAATGCTATTGGATGACAACTGGAATTCTTAGTTGTGACTGTAACTAGGATAATCTCCACATCCGCATGAGAATGTACTCTCGACAGGATTTATGGAAGGTGAATAAATGAAATGAAATGAAATGAAATTGGTGCCTTGGATGTATGTAAATGAACATCGTGGGGTATGTGACTCCCATACATTGGAATAACATGTTTGCAAGCAGGGATTTGGAAATTACAAAGGATTAGAGGATTTGAGAAAGGGAGATGTCTCATATGGTTGGATAGGAGACTGTTAAACACATACTATAAACATATTTAAAAAAAAAATGTATGTGATAAATATATTTGCATATATGAGTATTTATCATATAAGGAAATAAACTGCATGAAATCAACAAGTATGTGTCCCACAGCATCCTAGGAAACTTATCTTTCACAAATTGTCAATGAATAATCCGTCAAGTGTAACAATGTTTCTAGGTCACTTATTTATTTCACTCGCCCTACATGTTTCGGTTTAAAATAAACCATCATCAGAGGCACGTTTACAAACACATGAAACCACTGGCGTTGTATAATTTACACAGTATGTAAGCTGCGTGAACACTGCTACAGATGTCGGAGTGTAAAAGCACAACACTTTCTAGTAGCGTTGAATGCACGTACAATTCTTGCATTCCATCCGAAGAATGCCCTCAAATTGAGCCGTCAATGTTAAAATATTTAAAAGTTTAAAACATNAAACATATGAAGAAAAATTCCCTAAAATGGCCAAAAATGACAAGAAATATCCTTAAAAGTCCAAAAATTTACCAAAAAATTACCCCCGACATGAAAAAATGACCTTAAACCTAAAAAATGTCAAGAAATGACAAAAAATTACCCATAAAATTTACATTTCTGTAACCAGCAGCTCATATCCAAGATTTATATATTTAAGAGCATCGCATAGGATACAAGGAAAAAAAGATGACATGTCATCAAAATCCGGGCCCTGGTAATAACACACAATCCAATAAACTGAAATTCATTGTCTGTAAAGCAAATATGACAAGTTCATCAGTGATAGTATTTTTTTTTTTTTTTAATATGGGAACAATGAACATAGAGGTCTAAAGGTTCTGAATTTAGAGTGTGTTCCTATGCTCAATGGCAGAGCTGTTTTACTGATAACAGTGAAAGGTGTTGGTAGATGTTTGTGGTAGAGTGTGTTCCTTGTGCATCATATTTATAGTTTTATCCTTTCCTGTTTCTATTTATGTTTGTTTCCAGAACAATTATAAAGAAGAGAAAGGAATTTGAGTACAAGATTCAGCGGCGTACAAAATGCAAAGAAGACCATCTTAGATATATACAGTATGAAATGGATCTTCTTAAACTATTAAGACTTCGCAGAGAGGTGAGTTTATTTAAGCAGTTCTAATGTGGCTGTGGATGGTTTTGACCAGTAATTACATATGTAATAATTAAGATAATATAAAGAAGTTTTGCAGGTTATTGATGTGCTTGAAGGAGGTTTAAAAAGTGATATAATTTGTTGGGGACCTGCAGTCTTAGGGATATGATTGTGACCTTTTTTAGCCAAAGTTTCATGTGAATGTTTGAGACCAGCAAGATCAATATGAAAATATCTGCATTCATTTTCCATCATTCACTTAGTCTGGCCAAAGTCGGCCTTTCTTGCTGTTAGAATAGAAGTGTGCACACTCGTATATAGGCCCAAGTTAGAATTGAGTTGTGAAGTACCTTTCTCTCTTATCTCTTGTCTACTGTGAGCCACTTCAGTGATTGTGTTTTGTTGCCACAGTCCTATAGTTGATGCTAAATGGGTCTTTTGCCCAATACTGCACAAATGCAAGTCAGGCCTGCCTCTTGGTAGCCCCTGCTCATGGAAATTGTGGGTAGCAAGTCATGTCTAGATGTGTCATCGTTTAAAACGTGGCCTTTCTCAGCGGCTGTTCAACAAATAATTGGGGTGCTATTGCAGAGAAATTGTTGGCATGGCATCCATACAGTAGAACTCTTCCAAAATAGTGATTGCCCTTTAATGCCTCTCTTACAGTACTCTGATGTGAGTAGGCTTGTGAGAGGATATGTCTCCTTGATATTTTGAATGAAGAAGGTAGTTTCAGCTGGAGTGGGCACTAGTCTAGCTGACGGATATTTCGCGTAATATTGTTTTTAGCAATCTAGGTTTTATGCTTACAGATTTCTTTAGATTTTTTTTTTGTAATATAGTGTCAGACTAGCCATATCTTGTGGGTCTTTTGCCGGGAAATATTTTTGGATTGAAGTGTGCTGTTGCTGTGCCATGTGGTGGTGCATTCAGGTTGAGGATATCGTGAATTGCATTGAATACATCCGCAAAACTGTCCTGAATGTGAGAAATATCATGTTACAACTTTCTTTCGGTGCTCATATTAACTTCGGGTTTCACTTCAGGTCATTAATGAAGCCATGTTTTCAAAAATGAATATGATCCTGGCTTGTGAAGATGATATTGTACTTTCTGGTTCCATAAAACTCATGGAAATTCCTGACTGGCTGACTAGCTGTTAGATTCTCAAGGACTCTCCTCCGTGGAGGTAGTGTAAATAGTAGGTGGCTCCAAGGACTGCTGTAACTTCTGCTGTAAGGCTGTTGACTTTGGTTTTCTTCTTTTCTTATAGCAGTAAAAGTTAAAAGTTCTGTTAGGCTTTGAAGGGTTGATAACCAAGTCATATGTATGGAGTTACCCATTGTCGTCTCTTATGTGTGTTATTTTAGAAGGTAGTTACTTCATTTATGTTCTACTGTTTCTTGTCTTTTATTTGTAGAAGAAAGGCGTTACTCACAAGAAGGCTGATATTGAATTTGTTATAACGAACAGAGTGAATAGGCTATTCAAACAAGCCATCCAACGATTCAAAGATGATGTCAAACTGTGGATTTCTTACATTAAGTTCTGTAAGCAGATGGTAAGTGGCAGATAGTAGCGCATACTGTTTCAAATGTAGTCTATGGTTTTTGTGTAGCCTGGTCTAAAAGTGTACTAGAATTTGTTTGTGGAATGTAAAACTAAGATTTTACCTTTTTTTGTGGTTTCCTTCTTCAATATTTTATTCAGTTTTTCAGTATACAAGGGCAGTGTTTTTGAACTGATGGCGTGTGACCCAGTACTGATCTGTGCATACCGGCTCATAGATTGTATTTAGTAACACAGCTGAAAAATTACTATTTTAAGGATATTGTAAGAGTAAACCCCACCAATGGTATCTCCACCTTATTGTGGTGGTGGGGTTTGAGAGCTCCTGAGACCCTGAGAGCTATGCTGGCGGTAGCATAGCTACTGGTAAGGCCACCCATGCTGGACAGGTCAAGGGGTAGGAGCCAGACAGAGAGGGATACCCTGGTCCTCCAGGTTGGGTGTTGGGCGTGAGGCTAACGACCTCACGCTGTAAAAACTAAATTGTTCAGAAATCCGAGGAAAGAGTAGCCAGACGGACCTATTCAAGATGACCTGGAAAATGTTTACTGGAGGAATGTAGCATTGAATGGAGAAGAATGGCGAGCAATCCTGACGAATGCCAGGGCTCACAAAGGGCTGTCGTGCCAGTGATGATGATGATGATGATGATGATGTAAGTGTAAAACATCTTTGATGGGATGTCATCATCAGTGACATAGGTCATCCATTCCAGGATAATAGGAATATTGAGCCAGAAGACAGCCCTTTTCATGACAACAGCACCACTTTTGTTGTAGGGAATGGAAGAATTATGAGAAGAGATAGTCCTCCTCAGACCCCCAGTATGTTTTTGTTGTGTGAGGGGAGGATGGAGTAATGTGAACTTATGAGAGAAGAAAGCGCTTTCCAGGGCCCCTGCAATCTAGAAGTGAGAAATCAACTCTGTCTTTGAGGGCCCAGGTAGAGGAGTATTGTTTCACCCTCTCTGGTCTTGTTGTTAGGATTGAGCTCAGGTCCTATCACATCTGCCTACCATTCTGATCTGGGCTTCAGTTCTCACTCCATCTCAAGTGTCTGAAATAACATCTTTCTTGCAACCAGCCAATATAATACAGTGAATTCGTAGGGATCTGGCGAGAAGAGCTCACCATGAAAATGGTCCAACTTTTATGGCAATTTTTAATTAACTCAGAATTGCACAACTGACAGGCCACCTCACTCACCACATGTTGTTCTGTATGGTATTTTCCCTGTAAGAAACCATGAAAAAGAAAATATGTATTGATGTGGAAACAGTTTGACGTACTGCGGTTCAACAGCTGTTGGTAATTCCAAAAACTGAGTTTCATGGGTCATCTCACCATCAGCAGGAATGGTGGAGCAAATGAGTATGTGCTGAAGGAGCGAGTTTTGAAGAGGATTAACTTCCAATCACTATCAATGAAGTTCATAGTTTTCTAAGATGGACTGAATGATTTTTGACATGGCCTTCTGTTACCTTGTCTTATCTCTTGATTTGGGGTTTTGGAGGAGGCTAAAGTGAGTTGTGTAATTCTGTAAACATAATTTAAATTTGCTGTGAGTTGTATGTTGCATTTTGTATGTGTTTACCCTTATTATCACATGCTACTTAATTTATATATGCAGTTTAAAATTGACATTCCTCTGTACGTTCATGTCAGCGGTTCCGCAGCTCTGTGAGTCGCACCCTAGTGCAAATGCTGCAGGTACATAGCGATAAACCAAAATTGTGGCGTCTTGCTGCCAACTGGGAGTTTGAAGAGAGTCACTCTGTTGAAAATGCTCGTCAGTTCCTACTACGTGGTCTGCGCTTCCATCCTGGATCAAAATGTCTCTTTGCTGAGGTAAGGCATTGAGAAGATTATTTTTCATTTAACCTTACTGTGTCATATAGTGGACTGACATAGACTGAGGGTGTTTGAGAACAGGGTGTTGAGAATATTTGGACTGAAGAGAGAGGAAGTGACAGGAGGTTGGAGAAAACTGCACAATGAGGAGCTTCATAACTCGGTCTCGTCTCCAAGTATAATTAGAATGATCAAGTCAAGGGGATGAGGTGGGCAGGGCATGTAGCATGAATGTGGGAGACGAGGAATGCGTATAGGATATTGGTGGGAAAGCCAGAAGGAAAGAGATCACTGGGAAGACCAAGATGTAGGTGGGTGGACAATATTAAAGTTAATTTTAGAGAGATAGGATGGGATGGTATGGATTGGATTGACCTGGCTCAGGATAGGGACCAGTGGAGGGTTCTTGTGAACATGGTAATGAACCTTCGGGTTCCATAAAATGCTGGAAAATTCTTGAGTAGCTGCAGAATTGGCAGCTCCTCCAGAAGGGCTCAGCTCCATGAGTAAGTTCCATGTAGTGAAATTAATGTTGGTATGATTTATCAACAATTCCATGTACTGGTAATAAGAATTATATTAATAGTAAAAATGTGCTGAGGAAAATATTGTCGTTTGATTTAAGTGTTTTGTTAGTCATCATATTTATTTAATTTCCCCCCCACCTCCATTTAATAGATTTTTCAGTTATGTCCCCCTTTAGCCTAATTTCTTGAGTTGGAAGTGGTCAGATGTGAATTCTTCATCTATCTTCTATATTTCATATGCCACTTGAATCTCTGAACTGTATGGTTAAAATATTTATGATATGTATAAACTCATGCTTTGTTTTCCATCACCGTCATTGCAGTAGGTGAGGTGAAAAGTACAAATTTGCTCCTTAATGGCATTTTACAAGTTTAAATCTAGCCATGTTGTTGACACCTGTCATTATAATGTGGATACCTCATTTCATAGTGAACGTAGTGCTGATAAAATGAAGCCATTTTTATTACCAGAATAACATCTAATTAACGCTGTCATGAATCTGCAGTGAAATTAAGGTATTTCGTTGGTATGCCATAATGTATTTCAGAAACAAAGAGACTGAGATTCCATGTATCCTGGACTGAGCTGTTTAGTGTAGCAGTAACACTTGATATTTGTATTTGGGAAGTGCTATGGTTTTCAGTCCCTTGAGGCAAATGCTAGGAAAGTATCTCAATTAGGCCAAGTCCACTTCCTCTCAAATCCTTTCCAGTTCATCAGTCATCTTACTATTCAGCACTGTATAATCTAAATACTGACAGTGTCACTAAATAACCACTAATTCAACGAAACCTTTGTATCCGAGAATGTCGGTACGATAATATGTGCTTATTATTTGTCTCATGTGTATATTCTCTCATGTTACAGGCATTTCGCTTGGAGTTGCAGTATGCAGCCATGAAGCGGAAGCAGCAGCGTGAGAAAAAGGAGGTTGAGGGGAGGAAGAACCCAGTAGGAGAGAGAAGCTATACTAGTGTGCCTTCAAGTACAGAAGAAGAACAAACACACTGTCAGCATGATGGAACAGAAGAGGTTTCAGACCAGGTACACAACTTTCCAGACTTAAAACAAAATTATATTTTGAGCTACTAAGTATTAAGTTTTATTTGGTAATGTGCTTTATTTGAAGGATGGAACTGTGAAAGGGCAGAACTTAGAAAAAGTCACAAATAACCCTCCTGCAGGAATGGAAAGCAGAAAAATAATTACATTTTTTAGGGCATTTAAGGGGGAATGGTTGTTGTTCTTGTCATGTCTTTCAAAATGGCTGTTACTCTTTTTAACAGACTACACAGTGTCACAATCCAGAAGATTAAAAGTGTAATTTTAAAAGAATGGGAACCATTGCAGTTGCCCTGATTTTCTGCGATCCTGATCAATATTTTTATCACCACTGCTACGACATCATCATCATCATCATCAGTAATATGTCAGACAACAGGTCCACAGTCTCTTCCAAAACAGTTCCTCCACTTAATGCGATCTAGAGCTTTCTCCTTCAAATGACAGTATCCTCTTCTGTCCCCAAGATCATCCAGCATCTTCTTACATCTTTTTCCTCGTCTTCTTGTCACTTCTATCCGCCCCTCTATCTTTCCTTCAATAACTTCTTTTAGAAGGCAGTTTCTGTGTAAAACATGACCAATCCAATTAGCCTTCTGTTTTCGTATTTCACGTAGGATATTCCTCAGCTCACTGACTCTAATTAACAGTTCTTCATTTCTCACATAATCGGTCCAACTGATCTTCATCCTTCTCCAACACCACATTTCGAAGCTTTCCAGATGTTTCTGATCTACTGCCCTAAGCATCCAAGTTTCAGCCCCATACAGAGCTATGCTCCAAATGTAGCATTTCACTAGTTTCTATATATGACATATATTTAAGAAAAGTTATTAAATTATTTAGAATTTATTTTGTGACGATTGATATTAAAGATGGAAATTGGAAATGAAGAGTATACTATCTCCTGGAATATGATGCCATGCAGTCTGGTAAAGGTTTACAAGTCTGTCAGAGGAAAAGTGGTAAATTTCTATCAAACTCTGTGGTGTCACACCAGAAGTGAGGATTTCACATACAGGCGTTATAATTTCTTGCATGTAATGTTTGTTTTGAATACTTTTTCCATTAGGTGTTGGAAGGTCGTTTGGCTGAGGTGATCTATGAATCGGCCATTAAGAAGATTCATGATGTTCATTTCCTGATCGATTTGCTAGCTATTGCTAAGGAATATGATTTCACAAGCAAACTCCAGTTTAAGATGGTGACGTACGTCTACTGCTTCATGTTTTGTCTTCTGAATTTTTAAGTACATTTGGTTTTTCTGTAACAGAAGGAGGCATTGTAAAAGAAAGCCACATACAGTGAAATCTGTCTGTGTTGGTCACCTGTGGTTCCACTCAAACACCTCAGCTTAAAGCAGGTGACCAACTTACAGAAAATTATGTTAAGTTTTCAGTTTTTCTGTCTATTGTTACTACATACTTTCCTATTATATTATGTCACATTTGCCACCATATTGATGTTTCTGAAGCACTTTATTCTCTCTCTGACTCCTATGGTTACCAGACAGACTGTATTCATGACATCAGGCCAGTGGATTTGAAGTAAATATGAAAGAGATATTATACTTATGGATTCTAATTTTCAGTCAAGTATTTTTTTATTGCTAGTGGGGTGGGAAAAAGTCCGTTGTACTGTGGCCACTTCCTGCCTATTGTACCAGCCCCAGATGATAGGTGAGGGTGATTGTGGAGCAATTGGTGGAATGAAGATTGGCAGGGGAAACCGAAGTACTCAGAGAAATCCTGCCCCGGCGCCACTTTGTCCACCACACATCCCACTTGACCAGACCCAGGATCGCTGGGCCACCATGGTGGGAAGCCTGCGACTAGCTGCTTGAGCTATGGCACGGCCTTCAGTCAGAAGTACATGCAGTATGGTAAACTGAATAACAAGAGAATGCACCATATAGTGTAGTGTTATTATGTATCTGTCTTGTTGCAAAGAAATAGCCAGTTCAGAATATGTAATGATCGTCTCCACATTCTTCACGGTCTCTGCTACTTTGTCACTCAAAGTTAGAGACTAAAGACAAACAAAGAAGTTTATAAATTCATGGGAAATTATAGGGAGCAAAGAAATGGATGTTGTACATTTTGTTACAAAATGGGTTACAGGCTTTAAGGGGTACAGTACTCACTTTAATGAGCAAAATTTCCCAGTCAACATATGTCCAGAAACCACTGCCTGCTGAGATATGGATGATGTTTGTGTGATCTCTACAGCAGATGGTGTATGTGGTTTCCATGCATTTCTACAAAACTTTCAGCTCTTCATTGCACAGAGGTGCACACTGTCGAAAATTCCTAGTTTCACTTGAATCTCCTGACAAGATTTCTGTATTCTTTGCTTTAATACTTCTAAGTCATTGGTGGGTGCTGAATACACCAAAGTCTTTAGGTGTCCCCATAGCCTAATAACCAGATGATTGAGGTCAGGTGATTATGCAGGCTAGTTCACTGGGCCTTTGCATCGTAGCCACTGTTCATCAGAAGTCTGTTTTGGGTGCTGTTAGACAATGTGGAGAAAATGAGTTGGTGCCGCATCATGCATGAAGCAGTGCACCTGTTGGTCTCTTAGGTAAGACAACTAGTCGTAAGAGCTGATCACCTAAGATGCCCACCCAGGGGGATTGGGTGTAAAATTGGCCCTGTAACAGGCTGTGGAGACCCATAGAGTTGTGAGACAACATGGGTAATGTGAAAGTTCACAGTACTGTCCCTTGTGAATCCCACCTCATCAGTAAACAGGATTTTGGCTGCATACTTTGTGTTTACAGTGTATTTTGTGAGAAGCCGTTGACCAGACGCCACCCTTGCATGATGATCAGGAGGAATGGGGGCATGTAGTGTTGGTGAAGTGATTGCTCATGAGAATTCTCCAAACAAGGGGAACACTGGTACCTTCGGCAGCTGTAATTCTTTGCACACTGGTTCTGGGATCTTCCACTCTTCTCAGTATATGAAATTCCATATTGGGAGTTGAAACTGATTGAGGCTTTCCACGATCCAATACCTGTGGAGCAAAGGTGTCAGATTTTCTCAGTCGCTGGCGAAGTTTGGTGAATGACATGTGGGTTGGGAGTGTGCTGTGGCAAATTATCTAAGTAGAGGTGACGTGCTTCGTGAGAATTTTCTTTGGCACTGCAATACATGAAGTGCATGTCTACCATTTCCCAAGCAGACTAATAAGATTCCATTACAAAACCACTAAACAAATTTCAAATTAATGAGTATCAGAACACCAACTATAATTGTTTTTCCATAGTAGTACATAAATAGTGCAGTGTGTGCTGAGAGTCACAACACATGTAAGGGAAAGGTAAACAGATATACACGACGTACACTGACATTCTGTTAATGTCTACTATAGTGTTATCCAAGTGTCAAGTTAATTTCAAAACTCATCCGTATCTCAGCAGTCATTGATTTCTGGGCATATGTTGACGGGGACTTTTTTGCTCAATTAAGTGAGTATTGTACCATTTAAAACCTGTATCCCTTTTTTTAACAATCAGTATATCAGGTACTTTAATATGTGTTACAGTTACATGATACAAACTTTTTCGAATGATGAATTTACATGGGATACCATGGCTCGGCGTGAGCTTGAAGGACTAACGTACATAGATCCTCAGTTCCCGGAAGAAAGTAACCTTTTGACTGCCCCATCAGGCACCAGTGAAATAGATGAAGATGGGAACAACAGTAAGAACAGCTGCTTGAAGCAGAGAATCAGGTGAGAAACATGTATAAAGCGGAAGTGTCACCTCTTGACAGGATGACACACTTTGAAGATAAAGGTAAAGCTGCCTCTGTGCTTAAGTATGGACTTTGAAGGTGTATGGGGAATGGCGTTAAAGCTCCATGCATGCTTTACTGTGGTATTACGTGAAGGTGGGTGGTGTGGCTGCTTTTATCTCAGGAGAAATGTATCTGGGTACTCACTGGATGTGCTTAATGGTTCTCAGCTAATCTGGATGTGATAGCAGAACAAAAGTCCCTGCTCTTGCTTAGAAATCCCTGATGATCCAGACTCTAGCCACAATATTGGCAGTGCTATCCTGGCTCAAGAGTGTCCTATTATATTTACCTAAAATAAGGCGATCCCCTTTCACAGAATGACATCAGAGAAAACTATTTTTTTAATAGAAATTTAGTGGTAGAAATAATAATCTACAAACCGCAATCCTATGCAGCCATAAAGAGTGTGTGTTAGAATCTAACTTTTATTGTTTGTGTGATACAGACAGTGTTGTGGAGTATATGTGGCTGTACTGAAGCAGCTGCCCACAGAGAAGATGTGGTCTTTATATCTAGATATGCTGTTAGAGCTAAATCAGGATCTAACTTACCTCCCACGGTTCAAGAAGAACCTTCTGAGAGTTGCATTTCAGGATGCCCACAGTGCTGGCTGTATGCAAGAAAAGTATTATCTCCTTTGGGTAAGTTATTAAATAATACTTTGAGTACTGATTGAAATGGTGTATGAACACTGACTCTTAAGAGCTAACAAAGTTTTGATTTTTATGCATGTATTTAGAAAGTTTCTGGTTATTTGTTGATAACATTATTAAATAGGTATTGTGAAATGACACCTGAAAGGCAGAATAATTGAGCTAGAAGATACGGCTGTTGCTAAGCAGGGGCTCGATAAACACGTGTCCATGACAGTGGGTGTGCACTTAACCATAGAAGAACTGTTGGGAGCAGTGTTTTTTATGTGGTGCATGCCAAGGTTATAACAAGAGCCATCATGGCAACTTGGCCAGAAGCTATCAGGCAGTGATAGCTGGTGAGAACCAGGGATAGCTAGTCAGTAGGCCATCATGACTTAGTTGTGAATTGCCAACAAGTAAGGATGTCAGAGGCAGAAGAGTCTTCATCGTTGGGAACCATAACCTAGTGATGCCTAGTGAAGACCTTAACCGAGCAACGACTAGTGAAGACTATATCAGACTTAGTCAGTGTGTGCTATAGTGATTTGTTTTGTGCGTAGATTAGTGATACATGTTATAACTATCTGTAGTAACGCGTTACAAGATGACAGAAAATCCAATTAGCAATTCAAACTCTGTATATAGTCACTAACACATGACAGTTGGTGTCAGAAGTGGGATAGGATTGATTGATTGGTTGGATTGAATTTGTGGATTTAGTGAATTGTGCTCTGTTGGATTTGAATTGAGTTGATGAATAATCTTGGCATATTTTAATGTCTGGTAGCCATCATGGAAGAGACGAGAGCTGGTGAAGAGATGAAAGCTTGGCTAGAGGGTAACCAAGGAAGTGTTTGGACCTTTTGGTAAGGGATGGAGTACAAGATGCACCCTGACCAAGAACAAATAGAGGCCATGACGGAAGTTAGAAACATAGACGCCACTCTGGGAAAGATGGAGGTTGACCAGGAAGAGTTGCAGGCCAGTCATGAAAAGATAGAGACTGACCAGGAAGAGTTGGAGGCCAGTCATGAAAAGATAGAAGCTGTGGCAGAGCCCTGTAACTGGGCACCACACGTTAAAGCCGCAAACCTTCTTACCGTGCCACAGGGCCAGGTTTCTGAAGTTCTGCATAGTCTCTAAAGTGACATACGTGAAGACTATCAGGACATGAGGACTGATTTCAGGATCAGCATCTGGCCTTAGGGTACTGCAGCCAGCTGGAAGCAAGGATTCAAGATGATGGTGAACCCCAGCAGGAGTTTGCCGCCACTGTCAAACAGTTGACCCACCGTGCCTTTCCTTTGCTACATGTGGACCATGTTCATAGGGATCAGGAAAGGCATTCATTGACATGATAAGAGACTGAGGTATAAAAGAGCAAGAGGGCAAGAGGATAATAAACAAGGCCCTCAAGCAGACCTTAGGGCCAGAAGTTATAAAGCTGGCAATCAGGTCTTCCATCAGGTTGTAGAGAAGAGTGACAGCTTACATGCCTGCACTGGGTACTTTTTGTAGTTCTGTCCCCACAGACTGGAAGAAGAAATGGTGACATGCCTATAGGCTACTTTTGATTAGCAGCCTTAAGGAGGGAGCAGTGTGACATGGCACCTGAAAGGTGGAATAGTGGAAACAGAGGAGATGGTCCTTGGTAGGCAACGGTTCGATAAACCCTTATCTGCGGCCATGGATACACACAACAATAGAAGAACTGTTGGAAGTGATGTTTTCTGTGTGGCCCGTGCTAAAGCTATATAGTGAGAGCCATCATGGAAACTTGGAACTTGTTATTTGCCCAGGGATAACTAGTCAGTAGCCATCATAAGTTACTTGTGAGACAGTTGCCAGCTGGAGAGGACATGAGATTGATGCTGTTGGGAACTGCAACCTAGTAACACCTAGTGGAGACTGTTACTGAGCCATGACTGGTGAAGATTATAACAGTCTGAGACAGTGTGTGATATGTGTGTGTAGATTAATGGTAGTGATGTAACTATTTGTAATTATGAGTTATAAGAGTGCAGTACATCCAATTACCATTCAAAAACCCTTGTGTAGTCACTAACGTGACTTTATGTATGAAGGAAAATTATAAAAATCCTATCTTTTCACCATCTGCCTTCCTTTTCTCTCCCCCTTCATACCCTTCATGTGGGTTGTATAGCAGTCAAGCCTATCCATTTATCTCTATTTTCCCCACAGTTCCTCCTATTCCTCTTCCTAACTTCTCATATCCTTTCTTCTGTGAGACATCTTTCATGACTTGTCCTCTCTGCCTTGGTCTTCCTCTTCAATATTTACCTTTTTGATTTATTTTTAGAACCTTCTGTGTGATTCTGATTTCATTCATTCATAAAATGCATCCATACCATCTTCTTTGTTTCTTTATTAATTTATCTTTCAATGCATTTATCTTTAAATTCTCTCCGTTGAACTTGCCTTAAAGAAAAAATTATAAAAATATATCTTATAAAAGAAGTCTCTCCCCATACAATAATCATTTTCCTATTATCATTCAGTAAAATTTATGTTTGATATGAAACAGTTAATTTTTGTTGTAGGTGGATATGTTGAAGTCACAAAAAAAGTTTAAGAAGTTGGAGGATGTGCTTAGAAAGGCCACTGAGAGGATAAGATCAAGTGTTCAACTGTGGCAGGCACGCCTTTCTTATCATCTCTCAAGAGATGAGGACAGACTCGGTCAGGCAGTGTTTCAAGATGCGACAGTCCATCTGGGATGTGATAGTAAGGCTGCTCTTCCCCTCTGGGAGTTAATGCTGCAATACTATCAGACTAAGGACATGCACAAAGTTGAACAGATATTCCAAGATGGTGTTGTCCAAGGACCTGCTATATCTCTGAACCTCAAACCCATGTACATAGAGTGGCTGGTTTTGGCGAAGGGTAAGTTCACTGTGGAATTTAAGATATAAAAATAATGTAAGTACACAGATTGAGCTGGATAAACTCATAATGCACTATAGTGACAAGGCTATGGACTGGACAGCCAGGGAGTCAAGGTTCCTCTTTCAGCACAGACAGATGTTTCTCTTCTCTGTCATGTGCCGACTTTGTCCCACCCAGCCTTCTGTCTGATGGGTACTATGGTTCTTTCCCCAAGGTAATGTAGGCAGGGCTTGTAGGTAACACCTCACCTCCACCTGTTGCCAAAGCTTAGGAAAGAACGGAGCTATACCCACAGTCCTCCATGTTTTCATGGTGTGGTAATTAATTAAGCAAGTTTACCCTCTTTAGCCTACTTTCATTATTTTGAAAAAGTAAAAGGCTTAAAATAAGGTGATCTTGTCGGCTGTGTCTGTCCAGCTGTCTGTTTCATCCCCTAATTTTTGAGGCTTACGAGATCACCTTCCTATCTTTCTGTTTGTGTCCCCTCCCCCTAAATTCTTTCGTTTTCTATGCTGCCTGTGTTGTATCATAGGAAAGTAGGCAGTTCTTCCCAGAACTTCTTGTTAAAAACATAGACTTTTAAAACTACGGAAGTTGAAAATAAGAATTTGTGAAGATCTTAAATTTTACTAATTTTTATGTTTTCCTTGGTTTGAGCTTTGTTCAAAATATATGCCTACTACAGGTGTGCATAAAAATCTTCATTGTGTCTAAACAGGCTGGTATATTCTGTAATTCTTAACAGAATGTAATTAGAAAAATATTTTTCAATTTTGTACAGTTTCGATGTATGAGGTACTAGCTAATGTAATTGGCTTTGCCTACATATATTTTTCATTCAGTAAAGTATTAATTGTGGAAGGAAAGTCTGCTGTTGTAAAGCAAACTGTAAATTTTCACCTTTTTGCACATTTTAAAAAAATTGCTGTGTATTTTTTTGGAAAATAGAAAATTAAATATGTTGAAAACTATAACAGATATACAGGGTGAGGTCTCTTTTTGTAACTCATAAGGAATGTAAGAAATAACATTATGGGAAAATAGTTAATGCACAGTAAGCAAGGAACTATTTTTTGGAGTTTTGGGTTGTGTGAAACCTCCCTAGGGAGATCCTCTGATGTAATGCAGAATTTGGTCAAAATAGGTGGAATGGCATGTAAATGAAGACACTCTTCTTTCTATATTAGTTATATTTTGATTTAATAACTGCTTTTAATAAAATTCATCAAATTCTCAGATTGTGAGCTTTTAGGATGTGACACCGTGCATTATGGAGGAACCAAATGCCTTCATCCTTAGGTTTTAGGTGTGTAGTGTGAGCAATTGGCTAGGTTATACAGGCAAGTTCATTGGAAGGCAGTCACACAACCAAGGAGGGAGTAAGAAAATGGAACCCACTCTAGGCCAGTGGGAACAGTCCTTTTAAGAGACACATTTGGTTTTGTTCATGAGTTGGAAATGGAATATGGCAAAAGGATGGTTTTTCCTAAGACATGGTACTATTTTTAAGAAGAAAAATTGAAATGTGAGAAGGCAGCCTTCTTCATAAAATTTCATTGTGTATAGAATTCCAACACACTGTAAAAATTATCATTATTAAGAAGAGCTCTGCTTGCTTGGCATATTCTTTAACCATGAAGATAGAGGCGACATATTCTTCTAAAACATCAGTTGACTTTCAGGAAGCTACATGACATTATATCTCAGAAGGTGGAACTCTTCATAACCACTGATGTGAGAACCTCAAATCCTACATTATCACTGTTATATATATGTTCATTGTGACCACTTCTGTGGGTTGATTCTTGCATAAGTGCTTCCATTATACTTCTGTGTTTCAGAATGGGTATTATTTGGATTTTTGTGACAGGTATTGTAGCAGCAAGAAAAGTTTATGAATCACTGAGTATCCAGCCTCCTCTTTGTCTGGAATTGCATACCAGAATGGCCGCTTTGGAAAGTACCCAGCCTGATATGAATCCAAAACATGTGCGCAAATGTTGTGAAATGGCCTGTAATCAATTTGGCAAAAGTAATACTGGTAAGTTGTAGTTTAAGTGTTTTTCATTGATATGTCTGAGTTGTGCACAGTTTGAGATGAAATATGAACTTCATAAAGTATTATAGTACTCATCTATTGAAGTCTACACAAGGGTGTATGTTTGCTGGGAATGGTGGACCAATCTGTTGTGACTTGGGCACATGCTTATATAACTTAATTCTAATGTGAAAAGTATAAAGCAATATAGACAAACATATGTACAAGGGTAAGTCAATAAGTAAGTTACAAATGGATACAGAACTTAAACAAATAAGAGTACTGATTTGAAAAATGCTTTTATTTCTCAACATAATCTCCCTGTACTCTTTCACTGTCACTCAGACACTCTCAGATACTCCCAAATGCTGATATCTGTTCTGTCTATAACTGTCGTTATATAGCCTCTGCACTGACCACGCAGAAAACACCCTATATTGTTGGATTGTGTTTACTGAGCGATTGGATAGCAACGGTTGTGGCACAGATTTCATAGAAAGCCACTTATGTGATAGCTACCACTTTTGTGTGACATCACAGCCTAACGTGGAGGGGTATTTACCGAGTGTTGTGTAGGAATGTGCCGGGTGGGGTATGTGACGTCACTCGCGGAAATGCAGAGGTCACGTGACCCTTACTTCCTGTTGCACAATCCAAGTGTTCATAGAGCTGTCGCCTAGCAACACCGATACAATCCGCAACTCTGCTGTTGTGCACGTGCTCCAAGGCCTCTGTGGCTGAACAGATCCTGCATAGAGCAAATACAATACAGTACCTTAGTACAAATATTGTGTATTATTTTATTTTTCAGTGTACTGTAAATTATCTGATTTTTATTTTTTCATTTCTTACTCTCTTTTGCCTAGTTTTCCTTCTACACTTCTTAAAAATCTCATCTCAACCGCTGTTCATCTCTGTGTGTCCATGTTCAATTTTCTGCTTCGTATGGGTCTGTAGTAATTTTCCATAAACAAAGTTTTCCTATCTGTAGTGTTTCCTATTTGCAAAGTATAGGGTGTCTGGATGAAATGTATCCAAAATAAGAAATGTATATCTTGGAAACTAATTGTCATACACATATCCGGTTTATGTCATCGGAAATGAAAACTCTGAAAGGTTTTTTTTTTTCATACCTGGCTTATGCGCTGGACCAATTGCTTGCTTGGCCTCCTAGGTTACCAGATTTAACCCCAGTGAATATTTTTTGTGGGGTTATGTGAAGAACATTGTCTACCAGGTTAAGATCAATGACCTTCAACACCTGAAAGCCCGCATAAGGGTCGCTGTGGCTATGGTAACACCAAACATTCTTCAAGTATGGATATTTGTCGTGCTACCAAGGGAGCCCACATTCAAATTTATTGAGAAAGTTATATATGCAGGAAAAAAACGTGATAGTTTCCCTTTGTAGTGGTGTAACCCATTAATGTGTTTAATAAATTCTTTCTGAGATATAACAATTTCATTTTGGATACCTTTCATCCGGACACCCTCTATGTCCTGACTAATGGGTAAAATTTTCCTTCATGTCTTATTCTTTATGTAATTCTATTTTGTTCCCATCCATTTGTTATTGCTTTACTTCCTAAGTATTGAAAACTCCCCACTTTCTTTATTTCTTAATTATTTTTTATCTTTTCCATGTCTTTTCTCCTCCAACGTAACCAACCATACACTTATCTGAATTGGCATTTAATCCAGAATGTTTTGTGACTGAGATGTGGGTTTGGCTGGTAATTGGATTTATTAACCCACAGGTCATAACTCAAATAAGTGTTACACTCTTGCTGATTTACACAATTACAATCACTCCACAATAATCTTCTCAGTCTGTTTCCACTAGTCTTCACTATCCCCTGCCTGGCAACAGATTTATAACACCAGAACTACAAAAGTCTCACTAAATTACATGCTTCCAATGCCACTGCACTATAGCATACATAAAAGTCTTCAAATCACACAATCGAATCTTCACAGGTCAATGAACTTTTTGAGGCTGTCTCCTGCCAAGAATTCAGAACTCAGAACTGAACCAAAGTCAAAGTCACATTGTGACTGGCGGCCAGTCAGTCAGTAAGTCTTGGTGTTGAACACCCTCCTGGTGCTCATGACCGGATATTAATACTGTTTGACAGTTATGGTCTTGTTTTTTATGGGTGCCCTCTCTGATGAGGGGATGGGACCTGTCTCTTATACATGCTGCTGGTCCTTGCCAGCTCGCAGTCTTTCTTGGGTCAAAGTCCCTTGGTACTCGAGACCATATAGTACTGTCTCAAATTCGAGACTTCCCTTTTCATCGCCTCCTATGACTTGCAGGTTCACGGTGGAGGTATTCGACCCTGCCGCCACATGTTGAACCATAGTGCTGTTTGTTTTTAAGATAACTCCTTCATATGGACCCCACTGAAAATACTGTCTTCTATTGTTGAAACGTTTTTACCTAACCATTGCATAGAAATGGTTGTTGTGCAGATTCCATAGAAAACAGTCTCTCTGTTGTTGAGGTTTGTTTACTAAGCTGTTGCTTAGCAATGCTCTAGCCATCCATATTACACTATTGTAAGTCTATAAAATTTTGGTTCTAAAGTTCTTTTGTTCAGTTCCCATATAACTATGTGATCTGTGTAAAGCATGGTTTTGGCATTGCTCTATCTTACTATTCTGTTATGCTTATTATTATCTCATTCATTGCCATATATATATAGAAGTGTATGAATTATGATATTCACTACATTAATGAGAGAGAAGAGTACACTCCTATAAAATGTGTGTGTTGTAGTTAGCTCCAGATGTCCCAGATGTTTCGAGCGTGAATTAGAGTACTCATCCTGAAACAGATACTTCATATCCATTTAGATAGAAATCTTGTAGTTTTTAGTTTAGTTTAAGTTGGTGGTGTACAAACTTTTTCTCTTGTTACATATGGTGATCATATCTTGCAGATGTCTGGATGGAATATATCAAGTTTGAGCAAGAGAGGGGTAATGCAAAGAGAGTGAGTGAGATTTATATGCGAGCTGTGAAGAGCCTTGACCCTGTGTATAGTGACAGTTTTGTGACTGAATTTAGTTTGTTGAAGACTGGTATGACAATTTCACCGAAGCCCTCAGCATGAGTTTATTAACTATGTTTGACGAAACGTGGAATTGTTGAACAATGGACGCAGTGTCCAGTCTGATGCGCACACATTGAAGAAGACAGAGAAACATTATATGCCTAAGTATTTGTCAGCCTACACCAGAAGTGAGAAACCTGCATTCAGTTTCAACACCTTCAGCATTAGAATAGTTAGTGAAATTATATGCAGCAACATACATCGCTCTTCAAGAACAGAGTGCTTTTACCTACTTGCAGCAGTTACTGTACCCATAAACTCCGTGGCCTGCAGTTGGCAAGCGAACTGCACCAACAGAGCGACCGCCACTTGTCGGTGAAGTTAGTGCCAACTTTTGCACATAGAGGTGGTCAGCATGACGGCTCCCCATGGCCGTTAATCTCGGTTTTCTGGACCGGAGCTCCTATTTCCTTGAAATAGTTCCTCAGTTATCCTCACAAGGATAAGTGGACTCTGTTCTAGACCCGCTGCTTCTCAGAAAATCTGGTAGTGCTGGGAAACTGTAGCCAGGAACTCTGACCACTAGACCACAGAGGCGGTCTACTGTACCCATATAATTTTTTAAATATTTTGTAGACAGGCTGTGAAACAGTGTTTTGATTGGGTGATTAGCTGTATGAATAAGGAATGAATTTCCATTTTAATGGCAGTCTCAGCATCCATCATCAGGGATTAATTGTATGAGTGATGCAGCAATGTGGCCAGCGTATACGAGGGGGGACCCAAAAATAACTGGAAACGACCTGTTGCGCATGCATGCTTTGTAGTTACGAGTTGTGCTCCTAGGTGGTGTTAGCTGGGGGTTTCCTGCGACTGTTAGTGAGCTGGCGTCAGTCTGAGTTAAGTGGTTTGTCTGTGGTGCTCTGTTGTGTGCGTTCCTGTTTCAACCCTTTGGCGATTAGTGAGATGGCCGACCAGAAGAAACAAAGAGTGTGCGTGAACTTGATGAAGATCGTCGAAAGACCATTGACCAACTTTCTGAGGAAACGAACATCTCATGGAGCATGGTCCAGCGAATTTTAACTGAAGGTTTGCACATGAGACGGGTGTCTGCAAAATTTGTTCCTCGCTTGCTCGGAGATGACCAAAGAGAAAACTGCGTGAATGTTTGCCGCGACTTGAAGAGTGAAGTGCAGTTTTCCCTAACAGAAAGCAAAATTTCACGCACACTCTTTGTTCCTTCTGGTCGGCCATCTCACTAATCGCCAAAGGGTTGAAACAGGAACGCACACAACAGAGCACCACAGACAAACCACTTAACTCAGACTGACGCCAGCTCACTAACAGTCGTGGGAGACCCCCAGCTAACACCACCTAGCAGCACAACTCGTAACTACAAAGTATGCGCGCGCAACAGGTCGTTTCCGGTTATTTTTGGGTCCCCCTTCATACATACAGTTGCTCTTGGAATGTGATGTCGTCATTGCAAAGGGACTAATGGAGAGAACAGTGGGTGGAGTCAGGCATTGACTTATATCCAGGACAACAGTTATCATCTCTTAACGTGGGAAGACTCGGATGCTACCAAACGTTACTAGTGGCTGTGTGTTGAAGGTGCTGCTTCATTGATGTATGCCGGTAGCCAGGGTCCATGATTAGCCTAGACTAAATACTGTATTCCTGTTCAAGTTACTGGGATGTAAGAGGGCTGGACTGGTGGGCATCTGCTGTGTAGTTGTAGCCAGTAGCGTGGCATGTGTAGTTCAGTAGTTGTAGTTATTGCTGTGGTATGCTGTATGTAATTGTATGTAATACTGCATTATGTTTGAAGATGATACACAGATGGTACTGGCCCTTGAGACTGGGTTACATCCTGACATCATCAGAGAAATGGGATTTAGTGTAAGTCTGTCTTGAGAACCTAGCTACCAGTGCACATCAGGAAACCATAACCATTGACACAGAAGTACTGGGACTGCATCCTTCATTCCACATTATCCATGTTAAATGATGCTGTTCATGACCAAATACATGACAAGATCACCTGATCACCTGCTGTTCTCCAGGTTCATCAGAATGGAAGCAGACATTTCTGTGAAGCACTGGACATTTGATTGCACACTGACTTGGGGATTTGTCCAAGGAGGTTTTGTTTGTAGGAATTGAGATGGGTTTCAGGTGGGTTGGAAGTTGAACACATGAATCCATGGTTTTGTTGTCTTCTGCTCCATGCAGTCTTTCTGAACCAGTGTGGCAAGAGACTGAATTTTTTGTTTTTATGGATTTAATGAAGTGTGGTAAGAGCAATTCAGTCTACTATCTCATGGTTGTATATGGCTGTTTGTTAAAATATTTCTGTCTGGATATGCCTATGCATATCTTGGTGCCCAAGTTGTAATGACATTTGACATGAAAGGTAAGTGAAATATATGTAATTCTTATTTGGTGGTCAGTGTATGCTGTAAGGACGCATGTGCTATTATGTAAAATTTGGATTGAAATAAAGGCTTAAAGCCCAGGTTTTCACACTGTGTATTTTGTAATAGTTTCTGGACCTTTGTTGATTATCTGTGCATGAAGTTTTTTCTTGTGTTTTTGTCATTGTGTAATATACCATTTCATAGGATTTTGTTTGTTTTCAGATCCCTCTTAAGTTGAACCCTGTCCTCATAATAATTTTCAATTTGGTTCTGTTTACTTTTCCCCCAGGCTTTGTTCACCATCTCTTCATATTTGTGTGCACTTTGGATTTGCAGCATTTAAATCTGTAATCTTGTTGACAAGAGTGTATTTCACATTCTCGAATTCCATCATTCTAATGAAAATAATAATAAATGGGAACATGAGTATTGTTGCTTACAA